CATTCTCTATTCTATGCCATTGGTCTATATGTCTGTACTTGTGCAAGTACCAGGGCATTTTGAGAACAGTGGCCTTGTAATATAGCTTGATATCTGGTATTGAGATCTCTCCTATTTTTTTCTTCTTTCTCAGGATTGCAGCTATTCAGGGCCTTATTTTATTCTAGATGCATTTTTTTGGATAGTTTGTTCTAGGTCTGTGAAATATGCCATTGTTATTTTAACGGGGAATGCATTGAATCTATAGATTGCTTTGGGTAATATGAACATTTTAATGATGTTGATTCTATCAATGCATCAACATGGTATATTGTTCCATCTATATCTTTCTCTATCTCTTTTTCAGTGTCCTGTAGTTTTCTGAGTAGAGGTCTTTTACCTGCTTAGTTAAGTTTATTCCTAGGTATCTTAATTTTTTGGTGCAATGGTAAATGTGGTTGTTTTTTTAATCTCTCTTCCTGTAAGTTCACTATTGGTGTAAAGAAATGCCTTAGATTTCTTGGCATTAATTTTGTATCCCACTACATTGCCAAATTCCTTTATTAAGTCGAATAATTTTTTGATGGAGTCTTTATGTTTTTCTGTGTACAGTATCATGTCATCTGTGAATAATAACAGTTTTACTTCTTCTTTTCCAATTTGGATGCCTTTTATTTCATCTTCTCTGATCGCTATGGCTAACACTTCCAGTACTATGTCAAAGAGAAGTTGTTAATGTGGGCATCTCTGTCTTTTCCTGTTCTTAGGTGAAATGGTTTTAGTTTTTGCCCATTGAGTATGATGTTGGCTGTAGGTTTGTCATATAACACTTTCATTAGGTTGAGGTATGATCCCTCTATTCTCTTTGCTGAGGGTTTTTATCAAGAAATGGTGTTAGATTTTGTCAAATGCTTTTTCTGCATCAATTGATAGGACTATGTGATTTCTATCTCTCAATTTGTTTGTCTGATATATCATTTTTATTGATTTTTAGATATTGTGCCATACTTGCATCCCTGGAACAAAGTCTACTTGGTCATGGTGTATGATATTTCTGATGTACTGCTGGATCCGATTTGCTAGAATTTTGTTGAGGATTTTGGCATCTATGTTCATGAGGGATATTGGCCTTTCATTCTCTTTCTTTGTGTTGTCTTTATAAGGTTTTGGTATTAGGGTAATGTTGGCTTCATAGAATGAGCTTGGAAGTGTTCCTTCCTCTTGAATTGTTTGGAATAGTCTGAGGAGCATAGGTTTTATTTCTTCTTTGAGTGTTTGGTAAAACTCCCCTATGAAGCAGTCTGGTCCAGGGCTATTGTTTGCTGGAAGGTTTTTGATGACTGCTTCAATTTCCTTCATAATTATTGGCCTATTGAGATTTTTAGATTCTTCCTGATTGAGTTTTGGAAGGTTGCATTTTTCTAGGAATATGTCCATTTCCTCTAGGTCGTCTAGTTGTTGGACTACAGTTGTTCGTAGTATTTTTTTACAATCCTTTGTATTTCTGTGGGGTCTGTTGTTATTTCGCCTCTTTCATTTCTGATTTTCTTTATTTGGGTCCTCTCTCTTTGCTTCTTGGTGAGCCTGGCTAGAGGTTCATCAATCTTGCTCATCCTTTCAAAGAACCAGCTCTTGTTTTCATTGATCTTATGTATTGTTTTTTTGGTCTCTATGTCATTTATTTCTGCTCTGATCTTTACTGGTATTATCTCCTTCCTTCTGCTCTCTCTGGGCTTTTCTTGTTACTCACTTTCCAATTCTTTAAGTTCTAGAGTTAGTTAATTTATTACCAGTTTTACTATTTTTTTTTTTTTGAGGTAGGCCTGTAGAGCTATAACCTTCCCTCTCAGGATTGCTTTCACTGTGTCCTTAGATTTTGGGTTGTTGTGTTTTCATTGTCATTTGTTTCTAGGATGTTTTTTATTTCTTTTTTGATCTCTTTGGGTAATCCAATCATTGTTTAATATTATGCTATTCAGCCTCTAAGTGTTTGAGTTTTTTTATTGTTTTTATTGTAGTTTATTTCTATTATTATGCCATTGTGGTCTGAGAAAATGCTTGATATGATTTCAATCTTCTATTTGGAGAGACTTTGCCTGTGACCCAATATGTGGTCTATCTTTGAAAATGTCCCATGTGTACTTGAGAAGAATGTATATTTTGTGGCTTTGGAGTGAAATGTTCTGATGATGTCAATTAATTCCATCTGATCTAGTGAGTCATTTAGGATTGATGTTTCTTTGCTGATTTTTTGTCGAGAGGATTTATCCAGTGATGTCAGTGGGGTATTAAAGTCCCCTACTATGATTGTATTGTTGTTGATCTCTCCCTTGATATCTTCCAGGAGTTTTTTTATGTGTTTGGGTATCCCTGCTTTGGGTGCATATATGTTTACCAGGGTTTTATCCTCTTGTATTAATCCCTGAAGTATTTTGAAGTGGCCTTGCCTATTTCTTCTGATGGCCTTCACTTTGAGGCCTATTTTATCAGATATAAGTATTACTACCTCAGCTTTTTTTTTATTTCCATTTTGCCTGAAATATATTTTTCCATCCCTTCACTTTCAGTCTGAGTGAGTCCCCTGTTCTGAGGTGGGTATCTTGTAGATAGCATATATATGGGTCATGTTTTCTTATCCATGCAGCCACTCGATGTCTTTTGATTGAAGCATTTAGTCCATTTACTTTTTTTTTTAATAGAAGTGAGATCATCTTTATACAGGCACATCCCCAGAAAATCACCAAGCCCAACAGCAACAGAGGTCAGCTTTTATTGACAGTGTTACAAAAGAGCCAGTTTAGTCAAAAAGACCAAAGCCCATGTCATCATCAGACTCAGATTCTTCTTCTTTCTTTGCTTCCACTTTCTTCTCCTCAGCTGGGGCAGCAGAGGTGGAAGGGGCAGGACCTCCTGCTGGTGCAGCACTAGCTGCAGGGGTAGGTCCACCAGCCCCTATATTGCAGATGAGACTTCCAATGTTGACATTGGCCAGAGCCTTTGCAAACAAGCCTGGCCAGAAAGGTTCAACATTTACACCAGCTGCTTTAATGAGGGCATTGATCTTATTCTCCATCACTGTCACTTCATCATCGTGCAGGATCAGGGCCGAGTAGATGCAGGTGAGCTCTGAGACTGAGGCCATGGTGAGGTCGAGTGCTGGGTGAGCGCTGCCAGGAGCGGTACTAATCACCGGATGAAGTGAGCGCTGCCAGGAGCGGTACTAGTCGCCGGATGAAGTGAGGGCCTCACCCCAACGCAGCCTTAGCTTCCTCGGAAGAACCCAGCACCTTACTGGCACCTGGGGAAAGGGCAGTCCATTTACTTTTAAAGTTATTACTGATGGGTACTTGTTTGTAGCCATTTTTATTTTTGTGCCTGTGTTCCTTTTTCCTTCTTTATTTCTTCTTTTTAAACCAGGCCCTTTAGCATTTCTTGCATTGCTGGCTTGGTAGTGATAAACTCCCTTAGCATTTTTTTTTCTGTGACGCTCCCTTTTTCCCCTTCAATTTTGAATGATATCCTTGCTGGATAGAGTATTCTTAGTTTCATTATGTTGCTTTGCCTCACTTTGTAAACTTCCTTCCATTCCTTTCTGGCCTGATGTGTTTCTGTTGAGAAATCATTTGATACTCTAATGGGGGATCCCTTATAAGTAACTTTCTGTCTCTCTCTTGCAGCCTTTAAGATTCTATTGGTCCTGAACGTTTGCCATTGTAATTACATTGAGTCTTGGTGTGGGTCTTTTCGGGTTCATATTGTTTGGGACTCTCTACTTGTGTGACTTTTTCTTCCCGAAATCAGAGAAGTTTTCTGACATTATTACTTCGAATAGTTTTTCTAACCCTTGTTCCTCTTCTTGTCACTCTGGCACCCCTATTATTCGTATGTTGCTTTGTTTCATGCTGTCCCAAAGCTCTCCTAGGCTCCCCTCCTGGCCTTTAATTTTTTTCTCCAATTGCAGTTCATTTTGGGCTTGTTTTACCGCCCTGTCTTCTAATTTGCTAATTCAGTTCTCTGCTCCTCCTAGTCCACTGTTGAAACTTTCCATAGTGTATTTTATTGTAGCTATATCACCCTTTATTTCCTCTAGAATCTTACATAAGTTGTTGATTTTTTAAATCACAAGGATATTTTTAACAGGACATGGAGGATACAAAAATAGGAAGACTTCTTGTTATTCTTTATCGACAGTTTTATTAATATATACTTTTTATTGGCTTATAACATCAATCTACTTTTAAATTTTGATGCACACTTCATTTTGAAAAACAAAATGAATATCACATGACTCAGTTTCGCTAAACAGGGAATGGCTGTAAAACTTTATGACCAAAAGGATTTTGAGAACTTCTAAGAAAAGAGAAAAATCAAAAGCTGTTTCTCTTCTGGAACCCCAAACTCCCTCAGTCCCTTCAGTATCATAATTAGATATTACATTTTATTGGTCTGTTGTATGTCAAACCAAATTGTCCAGCTAAATCCTCCGATTGTGATGAATACTAGTCATACTCATTACTAGTTCTATAGCTGTCTCAGCAACGAGGACCACGAGACAGAGAGATGCATGAAACCTATGGCTTAATATATCTTGGCTTTGTCCCCAGGTCGCTCTTGTCCCAGGCAGGTCCTTCCTCAGCATCCACCTCACTATCCTCTTAGCAGCTGGTTAAAACTCAGGGATGGGGACAGGATATTCACATGAGATGATGGCTTTGCTTCTCAGTGGTGACCCTGGCATACGGTAGAGCCACTCAACTGCATTACAAGATGTGGCTGCCCAGCACCAGCAATAACATTCACTCTGATGTCCTCACAGCATTGGGAACACTTTGGCCCTTGCAGAGATACACTACAAGTATAGAATAAAAAAAGATGAATTTTTCACTGCAGGGCTTGGCCTATGCTTACTGTGCCAGAAATAAAGTAAAACACTCCCATTGTCCTAAGATGATGGGTGCTATGCACAACTCTGCTTCAGTGAATAGCATTGTAAGCTTATTTCTACTGGGATGTTCTTCTAGGTTTGCAGGTTGCCATGGCATCTAGACCCAACATGACGGCCCCCATTTGCCTGGTGGAAAACAACAATGAGCAGCTGTCAGTGAATCAGAAAGCTCTAGAGATTCTTGGCCAGATTTCTCAGCCAGTGGTGGTCGTGGCCATTGTAGGACTGTATCGTACAGGCAAATCCTACTTGATGAATCGGCTTGCAGGGCAGAATCACGGTGAGTGGTGTCTCAGGTAGAGGACAATGCTTTGACTCCAGCTTTATCACAGTTTCATAGTTTTCTTCACTAGTCACATAAAGAAAGGGCTAAATTCCTTTCAATAAACCAACCTTCTAATTCTAATTCTTACTAATAAATTATGACCTTAATTAGTGTTACCTTATGCCAGGGCCAATTTTTTACTCTAACTAAATCACAGCTTATTAGTTTTCTTCCCTGGTTACATGAAGAGAGAACTAAACTCCTCTCAATTAACCAAACTTTTAAGTCTAATTCTCATCACTAAATTATTACCTTAATCTATTCTATTGCCATATTTATAGTTTTACTTCTGTTAAGGAAAATCCCTCCTAGAAATGCATAGACTCCTTCTTTTACCTGTGCCAACACTGGGGTCTTGAAATTGTGCCTCATCTCTTGCTCATAACATGTTTTGCTCTCTCTATAGAATTTTGCTTTTCCTATGAATATATAAAGATAATTGCACATCTATCACCATCTTTAAAGATTTTTGTGAGTTCACACCCCATTGTTGTTAACAACCTCTCCCACACCATTTGCCATTTTTATTTTTATCACTTTGATTGGAAAAATATTATTTAAATTTCTTTTTCTTTAGCTGTCTCTCTTCTATCCGCTTCTATTAGGCCTTTACTGGACCATTCTTTAATATGTTCTTATTATGGTATTCAGTGACCTTTATTATGTCTGATTCATGGATGCACTTTACCTTGATTTTGATCTCTTGCTGGATATCATTTTCACAGTTAACATTCATCTCCTCCTTCAAATAGATGACACACAAAGTAAAGCATTCTTATAAAATAGAGAAAGCACCATCTTATATCTTGGGGTAATTCCATTCCCAAAAGTCTGATTTTGTAGCCACTTGGCTGCTTAGATTGTCTGTTGTCACTGTGGCTTGGGTCTCCCCTTCCTTTATAGGTTTCCCTCTGGGCTCTACGGTGCAGTCTAAAACCAAGGGCATCTGGATGTGGTGTGTGCCTCACCCCTGTAAGCCTGATTGCACTCTGGTCCTTCTGGATACTGAGGGCCTGGGCGATGTGGAAAAGGTAAGGCAGAGGGTCACAGATAAAATGTTTTCAACCTGGATATTCTCATAATTAACTCTTTAATTCAACTGCTTGATCTATTTGTGAAATCTAGAAATCGAATCCTATCTAATAAAAGAGAAACATGCTAATTGACCATAACCCTGACACCCTTCCCATTGGCTAATCAGCATATCCTTATGCAAATTAACTGCCAACCAAGATGGCGGCCGGCAGCCAGGCACTGAAGCAAACAGGAGGTTTGCTTGCTCCAGTGATGGAGGAAGCCAAGGTTCCCCGCCTGCCGCTGCCGGCCTCTGAGCTTGCACTCTAAGAAACAATGTTGCAAGTATAGAAGCTAAACAAACTCCAGAAACCTGCTTTCAGCCAGCAGGGCTTCAGCCAGCAGGACCGCAACAGTGTTTCAATTATAGAACCCAAACAAACCCAGTACCTGCTTTCAGCAGCCGAGGTCTCAGAGATGCAGCCAAGCCTCAGAGCTAAAGCCGGCTCTCAGCTCCAGTGACAGCTATAGAAGGTAAATAAATCCCAGAATAATAGAAAAAAGAGAAAAAGGAGAGGTTGGGAGCTTCAGTCACCTGCCAGCCTGAAAACGGCCCTCAGCCCCTCACCCAGACTGGCCAGGCACCCCAGTGGGAACATCCTCCCTGAAGGGGGTGTGACCAGCTACAAACAGCCATCATTCCCTCATCCAGACTGGCCAGGCAATCTAGTGGGGACCCCCACCCTGAAGGGGGTGTGACCAGCTGCAAACAGCCATCATCCCCTCACCCAGACTGGCTAGGCACCCCAGTGGGACCCCCGCCCTGAAGCAATAAGATGGCGGCTAATTTGCATACTGAAGGCAGGCGGCAGTGGGCAAGGCTGTCCGTGGTCCCAGGACCCGGATCTGTCACCCTGCCGGGTGGGGGGCAGTGCTTGAGGCTGTCCGCAGTCTGGGACCGGATCTGTGACCCTGCCAGGCAGGGGGCAGTGCTTGAGGCTGTCCGCGGTCTGGGACCCGATCTGTGACCCTGCCAGGCAGGGGGCAGTGCTTGAGGCTGTCCGCAGTCTGGGACCGGATCTGTGACCCTGCCAGGCAGGGGGCAGTGCTTGAGGCTGTCCGCAGTCTGGGACCGGATCTGTGACCCTGCCAGGCAGGGGGCAGTGCTTGAGGCTGTCCGCGGTCCAGGACTTGGATCTGTGACCCTGCCAGGCGGGGGGCAGCGCTTGAGGCTGTCCGTGGTCTGGGACCCAGATCCGTGACCTGGCGGGCAGGGGGAAGTGCTTGAGGCTGTCGGCGGTCTGGGACTCGGATCCATGTCCTGGCGGGCGGGGCGGCAGTGCTTGATGCTGTCCGTGGTCCGAACCCGGATCCGTGACCTGGCGGGCAGGGGGCAGCGCTTGAGGCTGTCTGCAGTCCCGGGACCCGGATCCGTGACCCTTCCCGGCGGGGCAGCAACTCGCACAGGGAGGGATCGGCTGGAGTTGGGCAGGGCAGGACGCCTGGCTTCTGCCCAGCCCCAGTCACTCTGGGCAGGTGAGCAGCGCAGAGAGCCTCTGGACAGGGGAG